ATCGCAACACGAGTACATTGCCGGCCTTTTGGAGATTAGGGTTTCGAAGATTCAGGGTTTCGGGAAGGGCAAGAAGGTTCTTTCGTTCGTCCTCTGGTAACTTCACTCACACGGCAAACACTATACTATAGTATTGTTTTACGCCGGTTTTCTGCGAAGCCGTAGTAAAACTCCGGTCGAAACGTCCCATTTGGGCCCAAGCCTGTGTCACACTTATAACTTTACTAAACCTACAGCCTATGTTTTTATTATAATTGAATTAAGTATATCCTTAAATTGAAACTTCCACTGCAAAATAGGATAGGCAGGTAATACATTAATTTATTCAGTGACCTAACAACCCAAGCAAATGGTAGTTTTTTTTTTTCTGAGGAGAAATCATCAAATGATTCTTCCGCCCAGGGTGAGGCGAGACGGATTGTCAGACTCTTACTGACTAAAACCCCCCGTTCCTTCACCTGCTCTGGGCCGAGGCCGCAATACCTAATCGCGTTTGCCCCGCAACCCCAGCTGTACATAAGCCCGTATAAGGCCCCGTCTGTGGTGAACAACTTGGTTTTTGCTTAACGTTAACTGGCAAAGCAAATGGTGTTATGGCAAACTATTTCATTTTAAAAGAGATCATGTGTCAACAAACGTCTAATAATCCAGCTAGTGATGTTATTAATGATGAAGTCTCTATAATGTATAATTAAATAACCCAATTTCAGTAGCCAGCCACGACATGCAACTGTCCACTTTTTACAAGTCTGAGCGTAAATTGCCATAAAATTACATAAACAAACATTTATTTGTAATAGCAAAATTGTTTTGTATTCATTACGCGCACGACTGAGCTTGGTTCGACCGCAGATAACTTGCAAGGTCAGTGTCAATAACACATGCAATTTTAAACCCTATCTATTATACTGTAGGGATTTGATTGACGTGGTTTTAGAGAGAATTGTATTTTTTAAGTCTATTACAGCCTAAATTTTTCAGGTTTTCTTTGAACAATTATAAGAAATAGATTGTCAACTGAAATATTTATAAAACTTACGGTTTAGCTGGTATCATTGTAAAAACTATACTAATATTTAGTTAATTACAGGTACAGAATATTTGACTTTTAAGGACAAGTTATATAAAGGAATAATATAGTAAACGTTACTTAATTACACACATGCACATTTATTACAACAAGAGTGCCTTATCACAATTTTTTTTTGTCACCAATGAATCGGTCTTCTCCGGACCCTCTGCAGTCTCTGATTAACTCATCATCATCTTTGTCAGGAAGCAAAGCAGCCATTTTTAGCGCAATTGGATTTCTTTTTTGTATAGGATAAGTCGGCAACCTAGTTGACGGATCACCTGGTGGTAGGCCACCCACACCGCCATGAACAACCACAACATCGAAGAATTCCATCTGGGTTGCTATCCTTTTTCTGGTTAGGGATTTGACGATTGGGGATGAAAGGAAGAAAGATTAGGGCCTTTCACGTTTGTTCACGCCAGTTTTCTGTGAGGCCATGGGATCACTCCGGTGGAGCTTAGAATATATTTTTATTTTTTTATGGTAGGTAGGTCGGCAAACGAGCTAATGCATTACCTGATGGTAAGCAATCCCATAGCCATTGGCACCCGAAACATCAAAGGAGTTATGAGTGCGTGGCCGGCCTTTTAGGGATAAGGGGTTTAATATTTAAAGATTGGGAAGGGATGGCGGGGGATTGGGCCTCCAGTAACCTCACACACACGATGAAACACAACGCAGTGGTTGTTTCAAGCCTGTTTTCTGTGTAGCCGTGGTATGACTCCGGACGAGCCGACCCTTTCATGCCGAAGCTTGGCTCTCCCACACTTAAATATATCTAGATCTATCTATCTATTATCCATATCTAACTAACTCATACAAATAGTAATATGAATCATCCTCAATGAATCATATTTCTTAACAAATATATAATACAGAGACGCTTGTACATAATAATGGCGATTACAATAGTCCATAAACAAAAGATATTTACATATATAACTACGTTAGTCCTTGTCACAAGCCAACAAGTGGACCGGAAAAAATGGAACAGAAAAACGATTGGAAAAAAATTGGTTACTTATTGTGGGAACCATAGTCGAAGTACTTATATCAAATAAGAATATTTGTTTTAAAAGGTCAGAGAAGCCAAAACTTTTAAGATAAAGGTTTGTTTACTTATAATAATTGATTAGTTTTTCTACCTTCCCTGTTTTACTACCTTCAGAAGTTCCCGATAATTTGACACATGATCTATTTATCATTATAGAACTTTAAGGGCCTTAGTCTCAAATGTAACGCTAACCCTTTGTAAGTAATTTTTATGTAATAAGTTTTCGTTTGTAAGAATACAGAATATAATATGATCTAAGCGTTAGTCAAACTAAAGAATTTCTACAGTATAACTACCTAATACAAATATAGGGAGGCAACTTGTACGCACAACACAATCTATTATCAGAATGATGTCAACAACTTTTTGTACCCCAAGTCATTTAATTGAAATCTTTTGTTGTCTATCTGATTAAGAATTTCGATCAATCTCTCGTTTGATAATAAGTGTATTATTTTTTATTCGATAAGGATAACCCATGGAATAAATAAGTACTTAGACACATGTATGTTTTAAATATACTTAAGTTTAAAATCACACTAGGTGTAGTTCCCCAGTAGTGGTTTAAGTATAGGACTGGGCCGGCGGTGAAACATACTCACCACCTAACGTACCAGGGCCTCTCGAACCGTGTCGTGTGAGTGAGGCTGGATGACCAATACTTATCCAAGCTCCCATTGCCCCAAATTCCCAATCTTGGAATCCCTAACACCTCCTAAAGGTCAGTATAGACTTGCAACTCTTATATTGTCGGTGTCCGCTTGCTGGTTTCTCGGCCTAAACCATACAATATTCCTTATTGGATGTTTCTAAGATTCCCAAAACCTTTTATCTTACACCAGTGAATTATCTTCATCTTACTCCAGACCTTTTCATGCGTTGTACTTCTTATTGCTCGTTATAAAAACTATCAGTCTTTATAGCCAAAATCTTCGAAATAATTACCTTATTACTAAAATTTCTGTATCTCTCGATATTTGAATTAATGCTCCCTTTCTTATGACTTCCATCTTTTGGAATTATGCGTCTTTTGTTATACCGCCCTTCGGTAGCAGGAAGTTTTCAAACACAGAGGTCTGTCAAATTAATGGCGTCCCATAATCATTAACTAATATAATAAATGGATATGTGACATTGATATCATTGTAACACATTTGAAGGTGATTTGTTTTTGTCTCAAGTGTGTATTAACCTAATTCTTTTACTCATGTAAAATGAGGTTGAATTTTTACGCTTTTTGTGAAGCGTATTTAAATTTTATTTCTCCTTTTTTTTACTTGTGCATCAGAATATAAGACTCTTAATCCGTCTATGAAAATATTTTTACGGAGCATTGTTAAACTGTTACATAAAATAGATTCAGATCTACTATTACCTTCTTCTACCAAACTTATTCATCCCTCCAATCTAAAACCAAACCTAAACCTTGAGAAATTTAAAAGGTGGTGTCGATTACACTCTGAATCGAATCGGAAATCGAATTAAAATTTTATTATTCTCTTTTTAGTAATTATTTTTTTCGAAACTTTTGCTAGTAAATATATTAATTGACTAGCTCTTACCCGCGGCGTCCCTCCCGTCATTTGACTGCCAACCCTACTCTACCTACCATACTCTACCTACACTAATCTACCTACCCTATTCCACGTACCTTAATCTACCTACCCTTCGTACCAACCCTACTCTACCTACCCTACTCCACGTACCAACCCTACTCTACCTAACCTACACTACCTACTCTATCCTATGTCCTTCTCTCAGTTCTTAGCTACCTCCCTACGACTTTTCAGCCAAATAGGTTCAGCCGTTCTTGAGATAAAAGTAGAGTAACAACCACGACTTTCTTTTATATACATATGTAAATAGATAAAGATGTGCAGATCTATAGTTTCATCACACTCATTGGGATCCAGTGTCTCTGTTCAAGTTTGCTATACCTATTCCTAAACGTACATTTTTTTATTTGCCCATTCCTCATCATCTAATTTGAAATCTAACTTACGATACCATACTTCCAACTCAGGTCACGTTCTTAATGGGAATAAAAGGCCCATCGCAACTGAGGGTCGAAAGACCTACCTGATAATTTGCAGGTACTATCTCCAAAAGGGACAGCATAATTACAGTGACCTTTTTAAGTAGTGCGAAATTGCTGGCACGAGGTCAGGTCTATTACGACAGTGGCTACTACAAAGAATTGTATGACATCCTGTCATTGAGTTCTTAGTTCGTCTAGAGTTTACGTATTGTAGTCTGCAATATCACCAATTGTCACAGTTGAAATTATTTCTAGTCCTATTGTTAAAGTCTAGAATATTGTGTAATATTTGACTAATTGTTTAGCTATTGACTTTATTTTGTTTGTTCTGCTTGGTGACTCATAAAAATTAATGTTATTTCTTTAATGTCTAAATCTGTAATGTTGATGTTGTGTTTTGTTTTACTTTTTCATGTCTGGCAGTAAATATATGTGTTTTTATTTCTTACTTCTTGCTGTGTTTATTTTGTTTATGAGATAGGACCGCAACCGAACTGTCGAATTACCTGATGGCCCGTAAGCAATCAGTGCTTTCTATGGATATCCACAACAACAGAGGAGTTACGAGTGTGTTGCCGTCCTCTTGGGAATTAGGGATTTGGAGATTTGGGAGAGAGGAATAATTGGATCTCCAGTAACCTCACTCACACGCCGAAACAAAACGCTGTGGTTGTTTCACGCTGGCGTTCTGTGAGGCCGTGGAATCAGCGGTCGAGCCGACCCATTCGTGCTTGAAGTATGGCTCTCCCACACTTGACAATATTCTGGGTAAAATCAATATTTTGTGTACAATATTGATTCAGTGATGAATCGGTATAGTCAATAAAAAACTATATTAGTATTTAATGATTATATTATTACGTAATAAATAAAGTGGGATGTATGGATACATTTACATTGAAGCGTATTTTTTCAGTCTGGTGTTGAAGCCGGAACTTTCCATCGCTGACCGCTGCTCCGCTGTGCAGTACGCTATAAATAAATAAAAAATTAGGACATTTTTAAGTAAATAACCGTTAACATTTCTTTATATTATGACGACTACTATACAAGTCGTGCATGGTTAACGTAGTTAATAAAAATGTTTTATAGTGAAGGGATCATAACAAAAATAATTTGTTTACTGACTCAGCCAAAATGTTATTAAGTAAATGTTAGGTGGCTTGGCTCGTATCAGGGCAAAAAGGTAGCCTCAAGGTGCAGTACCATTGAGGCGGAGCACTTAGGGTGTAGGTCAGAAGAGCTGTGCCGCGATTCACCAATCACATGGCTTGAAATCCACATTTCTAATGTGGATCTATCTTGAATGTGGATTTCAAGCCATGTGATTGGTGAATCGTGGCACAGCTCTTCTGACCTGCACCCTAAGTGTTGTTCAAAACTTCATTCTGACCCTTTCTGTAGATGCTGAAGCTCATAGTAATTTTTTTTTTTTAAATTTTTATTTTATTAAAAGGAAGCTCATAGTAATGCAATAAGAAACTTTTTTAGAGTACAGGAGACTTAGCACGCCATCTGTGTGTATTATTGGGAACTATAGTTCTGCTAATGTAAAAATAGATGGCATCACAGTTTCACAATACTGCTTCTAAATAATTTTAGACTGTTATAGAGGTTGAAGTAACTTTCTACATAGTATTGCCCTCGCTGATCACTGATCGCTTAACATCAGGTGATACATCTCCTCATTTCCTCCTATCCCATAAAAGAGGTGTATACTTACGGACTGTACTGGGTTCCCAGCCAACGAATTCACCAGTCCTCTCATTTTCTGCCTTAAGCCAGTCATGTAAAGGTGCAAAGTACTCCAGCACTCCACTGGCGTCCATATTACGTTGACCTGTCAGAACTTCCATAGCATCTTGCCAGGGTTTGGAGGAACCCATCTGAAGCATTTTGCTGTAAACGAATAGTATTGAAATGATGAGTATGATTATTAAATTTCATCTAAAAATAGGCTAAATTAATTGGATAACAAGGATAAAAACTTGGAACGTTTAAAAAGTCTTCTAGTTTTTTCAAAGTCAAAGTCAAAACGAAGACCTTATGGCTATATGAAGGCTGCTATGTCTTAAGTACTTTACCATAAAGTAACATGAATGAGACATTTAAACTTTATTATTTTCCAGTTTCCTTCTAGTAGAAGAAAACAGGTATGCCAACGGCGTTCGTTTGGGGTTTGGTGAATTAAGATATTATAGTACTGGCAATAATGTCACGAATATAAATTCAATTAAGCTATTATAGTTATGTTATTATTCTCAGCTGCAGTTGTATTTCCATTTTTTTTAAGATTTTCGCACTTACCCTAAAGCATTTCCAGCTTCAGTGCTCTTGTAGATGTCACAGTTGGAAAGCAGTTTATTGTCGTCGCCGGGAACATATTCACCAGCAATCTGACACAGAGTGCGATGGAATTGGAACTGAATGATGAAGGAGATGTAGTACCTGGAACGAAATTACAATATAAACATACGATTTATGAAAACATGGTATAAAATTCAGTAAGATGCTTTAAGATGTCAATTCTTATATTAGATTGCGGTTAAGAATTTCAACCTTCTCAATTGCATCAGTAAGGCCTCAATTGCATCAGTAATATAAGGTTGGGAATAATAAAGCGAATAAAAAACGTACGCTTGCGTTGTGTCTTCCCTTATGCATAAGCTTACAGGAGACCCAATCTTTTCCCCTCCCATCTCCTATCCACAAATCTCCAATCTCCAAAAATCTAACAACACAAAAAGGCCAGCGATGCACTCGCAACTTATTGAGTGTTGCGGGGTTCGCGGGCGGTGTCGATGGCTTACCCTATGGTACTCCGTCTGCTTGTTTACCGACATATCGAGGCATATTGTTATGTATTGTACACAATGGATATCTTTCTCACCTCATGTATTCCACATCAGCAGAAATGTGGTATTTAGCAGCTGGATCGAAGTCGTCTTCAGATCTGGGTGCTGGTGGCTCCACACCCTGAAGGGCTTCCCTTAATTGCCAGTAGTGACAGTTGTACTCATCAGGAGAAGTGGTGCCGCGGAAAACTCCATAACGGAACAAGTCGAGGAGGTAGGCAAATGGCAGGAAGACAATCTTTTCCAGTCCCTGGAAGGTAATCATTGTATATCATAAGTTATATTAGCTAAGCTTTTCTGTAGAATCAATAAAGAGGTCACTTTTAATAACATTCTTGTCAACTTTCATTGCAATATCAGTTCATTCAATCGGTAAATTATTACTTTATTTTTCAACTATCTCAATGTAATTCACATTCCTGTTTATATTTCTGTTGTACTTGTAATTCTTGAGAACCGTAAAATCTTAATTGTTCTCAAACAACAGAATTTGACAATAATTTTACATTCTGCACAATTTTCTAGTTCTAGCTACTTAGAGAACTGTGCTAAAAAAAAGGGTGGTCTCCTATGCTTACCATTTTGTAAAGCTGATTAATGTTGGTCCCGATGTCATCAGTGCCGTCTTCGAGAAGACCCATAACTCTTAAATGCTTTGGTGTAGCAACTGACAAGGCGATAACGTCTCCAACGGCTTCATGGAAACCTAGAAATAATGAAAAGCCCTTTATATTTGTTTTTTGCTTGACGTTTCGGCAGAGTTACATCTGCCATGGTCATAAGCAGAGTGTTCGGAATCCCGTAAAAAAAGTATAGTACAATAAAAGCTCTATTTGATCGCAGTAGCAGGATAGACCAAAAATTGTAAATGTACCTCAGCCATTTAAATACATATAGATTCAGGTAAATTCAAATTCCATATCTACAGAATCACATCATCAGCCCAAAAGTGCCCACTGCTGAGCAAAGGCTTCTTCTCACATAGAGAAGGTTTGAGCATTGTATACATATATTTATAGCATATGTACATACGTAGTTATAGCATATGTACAGAATGATACACTTTAATTAACTACATACCTGGATTGGCACCTTCCCTATAAACAACAGGTTGATCTTTGTATTGAAGGTAGTACTGAATGTGGCCCATCTCATGATGCGTGGTTTTGAAGAAATCTGATGTGATAGTTGTGCACTGCTTAATTCTGAAAAATATTTTAATATGTAAGTTCATTAGAGATTAATTAAACTAAAAAAAATTAAATTTAAATTGCACTCTAGTTTTTATACCTGAAGTCTTCACCATCATAGAAGTCCCAGGCAGAAGCATGGCAGACCATGTCACGTCCGTCAGTAGGTTTTTCAATAATGGATCTCTCCCAGAACAGGTCAGGCATTGGACTCAGGTTCAAGGACGTAAAGAATTCCTCGGCAGTTTTGAAGAACTTCAGGGCTGTGTAGTTCTGAATAAACGTCATGTAAAAACTTAGCTAAATGTCTTGAAGCTAAGGCTCGAGAAAATATATATAGAAAACAACCTAAAAATGTACCTGGGCTCGCAGAGCATTAGTGACATCGATTTCGGGCTTGTCAGGGTATGGCTTGGTGAACTTCTCCACGTGGTTCCAGGATTGAGCCCAAATATTACCTTAAATAAACAAGTTCATAAGTAGTATTAGGAATTTCATATGTATCATCAAAGAACAGAAATTCTTTTAAAGAGTAATAATACTACAACTTGAATAGGTGTTTACCTAACAAATGCGCTGGAATAGGTCCTCTGGCAGGCACGACATCTTCTCCATATTTCAGCCTTAAATGTCTCCTCACATAAGCGTGGATTTGTTGATACAGTGGTTTGACCTGAGCCCAGAGAGCAGCAAACTGATCCTCACTGTCATCAGCCTCATAGTAACTTAGCCACCATTCTGCTACGCTGTCATAACCTTGAAATGAAATTATTAGATAATTTAAAGTAATTATAATCATCTACCAACTACGAAGACTAGTTAGTATACGTAGTAAAAATATGAAGGTAGATAACGTAGTGGTATAGCCGAATGTGTGATTGTAGTTTTTGGCTTACCTAATATTTCTAGTTACATTAGAACGGTTAGCAGAAGAAACGTAAAAAACTGAGGACAAGCAGCTCAGGGTGAAGACAGAAGATTATTTAATTTATTTAGTAAGTAGATATGTACATAACACTACTGAGGGCTTGGTACGTCAGAAAAATATAACTTATATTTAAATGGTATAAGGTCTACATTCGAATATCCTTTATTATAAGCATTGTTAGAATTACCGTTCAGCTTAGCAGCTTCATTGTCCATAGCGACGTATTCGGTAAAGTTGCCCTTGGAGGCGGCACCAGCAGCCTTGTGCCACTCTAGCCAGGTATACTTCAATTCCTCAGGGTCATTGCTGTTTGCGAAGATGTCTGTCACCTCTGGAATTATTCAATTATTATCACACATCAATGCATACATAATAGCAATGAATTGTTCACATACCATATCAATGTATGGAATCTTTATATGTACATCTATATTTTATATTTTGAGAAAGTTGTTAAAAAGCAAGTAAGTAGTGATGACAGTTTCATTTCTTATAATAAAAATATATCTTAACACATTAACCGCCACGTAAGTCATCAGTTACCTACGGTAGCAGAGAATTTGCTTTGAGTAGTTCTGTCAGCATTCAAAGACATAAGGACTGTCCAAACTTAACATAGAAGTTGAGACATGTATGTATGTTAAGATTATCTAACCTGGCTCCACATGCAAGTCACACTTCGTCCTATCAGAATAAGAACAAATCGTGGCCTTAGCATACGTCGACTGCATGTTACTGACAGCGCTGATCAATCTCTCATTCAAATCCTCAGGCAGAGCAGAAGTACCAAGCTTTGTATACTTCTGGAACATTCTCTTCAGGTCCTGGTCCTCGTACTCATGCCAAAGGTAGCTCATGGTCTCTTTCCAATGTTCTTTTTCTTCTTCAGCTAGTTCCAAGGATATTTGCAACTAAAATTGAAGTCAAAGTCATGCAAGTACCATAAATTTCTTAAATTGAGAATTAAGATAGGCTTTTAATTTTTTTGGTGCAGATTTTATTTTCTTTTCCACTCTTTGTGTGCATTTGAGTAACTAAAATGGAATCACTTGGGTCAAAGAACCCACATTTTGAAATCATTTGAACCAGTTCACAAATGCAGACAAAAATTCAATATTTACTTTCGATTTAGGTCCAATGTGATTTTAGAATACGCGTTTCATTTTGTGCGATTTATAAAACATGTTCGTTTCAAATAAAGGTTATGCCTTATGAATATTTCCATAAAAGATGAAATACCTTTTATAAGTATAAGATAAATGATGTAGTTCTTAGTTACACCATTATCATCATCATCATCCTATGTACCCACTGCTGAGTAAAGGTCTCTTCCCCAAGTACATATACTATCTCGTCTTCTCACGCGCAAGTCTCATAAACATCTGCTTTTTTACAAGTTTCATACCTACTATGTACCATGTAACAGGATACTAATTTTATTTTAAACATAGAGTATCATTATATCCTTTTATTATTAGTACATATAAATGGTAACATTATTTCCAATTATATTATTTAATAATTATAATTTATATTTAATAATCATATTATTTAACAATTAATATTTTTTTTTACAAACTTTCGCCTTAAACACCGGTGGTCCTAGTTCAGGCACCCAATATTATGAACTTGTTATAGCTTTAAGCAAAAGTGTATATTCTAGATTGTTCAATAATTTTATTTATTATATTTATTTGCATTTATATATTTCTTTATTATTATAACAACTACAACATAGTGGAAAAGATAAAAGGTAAGATTAAAGTCTTACCCCTTATCTTTGCTATTTCCTTCCCCGTATAATGAATCTAATCCGAATTAAAATGGAACCAAAAACCATTCGGCCACTAAGACTGACGTATATTGTTAACTTTAAAACACTCACCAATCGATCCTCATTATACTTCGTGATATTGCTCTCATAATCCCAGGTTGCAAGAGCCTTCTTATTTTTGGCCTTGGACATGATCTCATCCAGATTCCTCATGTAATCCCTCCCTGCAGCCTCTTCAGCTGCCCTCTCTACCGCGCGCCCTTTCGCGGCCACTATGAAGACCGAAGCGATGGCGCCCACAAGGGCTAACTCGCCTATGATCTTCATTATTAACTGCAATAAAATAATGTTTTTTGTTAATAAATATACATACCTTTACTTCTTCAAATCTACAAAGGTTAAATGTAAATACATATAACTGGTCAAAACTAGCATAGGTGTGCTATAATATAAAGAAAGAGCATTTAATGGTGATTTGTATTTACAAAACGTTAGTTACACAAGGACGACGACGCAAGAGCTATTGCTAAAAGCGATATCCATCAGGGACTTTAAGCCTTTTACTTTAACATTTCATCAAATATAAATTAATTAATCAAAAATGAGGTTTAAGTTCCCTTTAATAAGGCTGACATAAGTTATAACTTACAGTATCCCCCTGTACGCAAAGGTGTACTATACCCCAAAAAAAACACCCTAGTACTCAACGAAAAAATAACAAAAAAAAAAACAAACCGGAGAACAAGAGGACACGATTTCACAAATGGCAATGACGATACCAATCTCATGTCAAACAATAAATACTGATGTTTCTGTCTAAAAAGTTGAACAAAACAGGCAAACAGTGTGTCAAGGAGGATCGAGAGGTGAATGATCCAACGCATATTGTTGGCGCCAAATTGAGCTGAACAGATGAGAAAAAATATTCAAACAGATTCAGCCTCGAATTATAGATACTATGCACTCGTGAGTTTTAATGGCTAGACCTCAAAGTCGAAGCGTTTATTTAACTTTTAATATTCGCCTAAGCAAGTCATATTTGATTTACTTAGCTATGTCTTTTATACTTCTAGTGAAGTTCATGTTAAGTTGAATACTACATTCAGTGTCGTTTTGAATCTCCGAAGATTGTAGAATATTTACATTTTTTCGACTCGCTTTACTTTGTTTCATGGGTCCTTTGTAAAATGGAATGAAAAAGTACAACGATTTCAGATTCCTTGCAACTACAAGAAAATATACGGAAAACCAAAAAAAAAACAAAAAATATTTTTTTTATGGTATAGAGCTGTGGCAAACGGGCCATCCTATCACCTGCTGGTGACACACCACCCTTTTTGGTGTTGTTCGGGATTTGAAGATAAGGTAATTGACGATTCAAGAAAGATATAGAGAAAGGATTTCTCTTCCAAACTAGAATATTTAATTGCTGATTCAACTTGTAACCACTTCATCAGAGAGGCAGTTTTTCATTCGTTCACAGGCCTTATTTTCATACTAAACATTTAAAGTCTAATTGGTGACTGCACAATTGATGGGGTGGGGAGCAATCGGCTGCTGTACAATTTATCCCCAATTCGATTCCCTCAGCTCTTTATGTGATTCGCAAATTATTGTTTCGGGTAAAGGTGCCATGTATTGTGTGTTCGTAAACGCACCGAAGACAGAGAATAAGAACCACGTGCAGAGCAACGTTTTAGTTGTTAAAAACAAAAAATTAAAAAGACTAGAATAAAATTGTTCATTTTGTGTCATGGAGTCTCTTAATATTCAATACCTGGAGCTTAAAATATAACTGGTTAATGTAATGTAGGCACAGGTTTGCCTACTTCTATAAGGAAAAAAGATATTTGTACTGGCCTTTAATAATGAAATTTAATATATTTTGAAAATATTGTTATCAGATATCAATATTTTATTGGCAGATCACTCAAGTGACTCTTCACAAATAAATAATAATATTTTATCATTTGCACCTATCTCTACATCTAATCAATATCTGACAAGTGAACTGTCGAAATGTGAACGAAATCTTAATACGTTGATTTGTAAAAATATTTTGAACCTACACTAATATCATAAAGAGGTTAAATTTGTAAGTTTGTATGTAGGGGGTAATCTTTGGAACCGCTGGTCTGATTGCCGAAACTCTTCCACTTTTAGATAGATACAATATTCCTGAGTGCTATAGTCTATAAAACATCATGCTACAATCAAATGGAGCAGAACAGCAGATGAAACCGCGTGAGAGTAGCTAGTAAGAAATAAATAAAAACATTGCTTGCATAATAATGATATAGCAACAAGTATTGATAGAAGCTTGTTACTATGTTGTCTTCAGAGAAGGATAGGACAAACAGCAGTCTATCTTGTTTTATAGCCCAATAATGTTTCTGCATTATATTTACATGTACACGACCCATTTTATATTTAAATCGAATTCAATTCTTACCCACATAAATACCATTTATTGTGTGTGTTCGGCTGACTGTAGTACTTAATCCTGATGTGGTCACCAGGCCGAACAACAAGCTCAACCTATTCTTTTACTTTATATAGCTAAGCAGTTTGTAAGATTTTTAGGCAAAAATAGTAAACTAATCACGATATAGTGTAAAACAAAGTCACTTTTTCTATCCCTACGTCCATAACTACGCTTCAATCTTTAAAACTACGAAACGGTTTTTGATCCTGTGTTTTTTTATTTGAAAGAGTTATTGAAGAGTATATTTATACATATATATATATATATATTGTACCACGGCTTATTAATAGCATACCCTCAGAAATAAAAAGTAATATTACACCTAAAAATATTAATTGTAAACTTAAGAAATATTACTTAAGTATTATTTAGGAATGTTTTCTCCTACTGATTGACACAAAGATTGTATAAATTAATTTCGATATAACGTACACATACTTAATTATAAAACTGTAACTAATTTTTTTTTTCCTTCGATTTGAGATGATTCATGATAGCACAAGTTTAAACCTTAGTGGTTTTTTGGTTGCTATTTAACGTAAATAATCTTGTAATATTTGTAAAAATGATAAATAAATAAATAAAAATAAAAAAACATATTAACATCCATTGAAAGTGGAGAAGTTTAGAATCAGCCTTGCACGTATGCAGGGAGTATTTGAATAATCTGTGAAATTCTAGCTCTAGTGCCCTTTAATTTGTAAATAAAAAAACTGAACAGTAGTAAATAAGTATACGTTACACTAAAAAACAATAAAATTTCTTGGACTTACATCTTAAATTTAATTTTGTCCATAATTTTAACTCCGAAATATACATTTAACATTTTTTATTGAAAATCAGGACAAAGCAAATCGAAAAAAGGACGATCGAGTCACGAGATATTTAGTAGACAAAAGCACTTTACAAAAACCACTACCATAGAACAAAACGGCATTACATTTTTGTTTCTATTGTTTGATAAACTTCCAAAAAAATATCCTTAAGCCGATATAAAAATATTATCATTACTTCTACACTTATTTGAAACTTACAAATAGCACTCTTTTGGCAGTTTGACTAAAATATCCACAGGGCATTTTTCTCGCACACTTTTCTTACACTTGCACACAAATCTACAAATACACTACTAACTAAAACCAGCGGTCTACACTCAAAAACATTAATTATTATGTAAATTAATTACTGACGTGCCATGCTTTTAAGATTTTAAGTGTTTTGTGTGACGAGAAAATTGTTAGCGAAACAAATGACAGAGGATGGTTCGTACAAGATGCGGTCAGTAAGAACTCCCTTAAAATATTTCTTTAATTCCACTGGTGACCAACAGATCTGACCCTGCCTATCCCATCTTACTGTACGCCGCTGGGCCGAGGTACTTTCCACAAAGGTCCTGTGCAAAGCGATCATTTAGTATAAAAATTCAGCTTTATGACCGAGTTAGGCGCCTAAATACAAATGTACAAAGCCATGATCCGCTACGAATCCTGCCTAGGGTTTGCTCGATCGGAGTGATACCAAGGCCTCATAGCAAACCAGCGTGAAACAATCACAGCGTTGTCTTTCGCCGTGTAAATAAGGTAAGATTACCGGACGCCCAAGCCATTACAATACACTTAAACTTAGCATTCCTCATCATCAACATCATCATCAGCCTGTGCTCACTGCTGAACAAAATCTTCTTTTTATAAAAAGAAGGTTTGATTATTATCCAACACGCTTGCTCAAGACAAAACTTATAATTAGAAATTACAAGTCCAGACTTCCTAACGATGTTTACTTCGCAGCATTTATTTATTTAAACTTTATGCAACAAAACATTACATAGGCGGACTTAATGCCGTGGTATATATAAGTGGTTTCTAAATAATTGTAAAAGCTTTACCTAACTCGGAAAAAGCCTAGTTGATACTTGCTAGGCTTGGAAACCGCACCTTCATGCATGAGAAGAGGGGAATCTCCGGGCCACCACGACGATACGAACCCAGTATTGTTCTTTTCAAACCTGTCAGTCAGAGCTAGTTCTCAAAACTGGTCAGTGCGAATAAAAAAAGAGTCAATGACATTATTTTTTCGTTGTGTAGAGAATGCTTTTAAATTGACATTTATAAAATAAACCTTCTGGTCAGTGAGTAGTCTTAGGGGAGGAGTTTCATTTTAAGTACCTACCAAGATCAAAATTGTAGGCTTATATATAATACATATTTTATCATTATTTATTTATCATACATATCTATTGACATGTGAATGTAATAAGTAACACGCTGGTAGATTAATAAACTACCCCAATCTGAAATGTAGGTATCCATCATATTTCGACTTTATTTCAATTTTAAATATTAAAGTTGAAAATAAAGTAAATATATTAATTTGTAGGATAGCTTGTGGTCTACCCGTCGTCGATATACTCGTAGCATTGTCTTATTTTCACAAAAAAGTAAGTTTGATTTTTTTAAATTGCTGTGCTCTTCTCGTCAAACATCAATCCTACTTCTATATAAAAGTTAGTTCAAGTTAAGTTGTAGTATTCTTAGTCATTAATTTGCTTTTCTTAGTGCGCCAGCCCGGTATTGTTTAATTCACAAAAAATATGTTATATGTAATAGACTTATTTAATCCTATTTATTAACACACAGTTTAGAACTTATATTGTGTGTGTAAGCAGCAGACTGGCCCATTTTACATAACAATTATAACTAAAATACCTGCATTGCTCAACAAATTGGTGACATCTAGCATTACACCGACATATTAATATGTTCCGTTGGTACAAAAAGTCTCGTCAAAGAGTATTCAGCATACATGACCGTAACAAAACATTACTCGTATAATGTATTATTAGTCAAGTACATATTATGTGTGTGACAATTTCAAACAAATATTATTTCGTAGCCTCTTTGTAAGGGACGTGAAGGAACACTGTATAACGGATTAGGACACGGACAATCCACCTTCATTTGTTTTCCCTATGAAGAATTTTGCTACGTAAAACCAACATTAATATGATGTAAATAAAGTTTAAAATGTCCAAAGGCATAGATATCGACATAAATAAAAATGAAAAAAAATTTGGTTGCTGTTTATCTTTTGTTTGTATTGTAAATCAATATTAATAAATGGCAGACAAGATGTGAGGGCAAGTTAAGTGCATACCTATATATTGTGCATTTTCTAAATAAGTCTAATTTCTGTATAGAGCAGCAAACCATGTCATGCACAAATTGGCGCTGTTCATGCGTGAAAGTGCGTTGCCGTCTTTTGGGGATAAGATTCTTGAGGATTAGGATTTTGATGCTTGGGAATTAGGGTTGAACCAGGGGCAAAAATTGGGCCTTTAGTAACCACAATCAGACGGTGAAATATGGAGCAAGAGATATTCCAAAGCTACTTCATGTGAGGTCGTGATATCACCCTTGAGTTACTTAATTAGTAACTAATTATTTCAGACGAATAAATTATCGTCATTGCATTTGCATTAGCAACCCTGAACCGAATGCAATTGTAATAAGGTACCGTAGCCCAGCTCAAAGCAGAAGATAGAACGAGATAGTCTTTATTCAGTAAGAGACTGACACTTTTCTGTCGTCCCATCCAGGCCGGGGGGAGTCAGTTAATGATTGCTTTTCAAAAAAGTTAAATTTCTCTCAATCTAATTGAGCTACAGATATTTTATCACACAATATTAATTCAGACCCAACATATGCTGGCACCAAAACAAAAATAATTTACAAAAACTTACTATACATATCTTATGTTCCTTCGATTTCATATCACTTCTGAATATTTTATAAAAATTATACTGTTCACTCCAAAGTTAACCTTAGTCCACAAATCACAGAGCACATTATCCTGTTTCACGTCACACGTGCATATATTAAACAATTTTATTCTAAACAGGTTTTTGAGCCACGGTCAACTTTGATGACACTTGATGCAAAAATAACACTGTCTTATAGAGACTTTATTGTTTATATCAATAATTAAATTTAATTAAATAGTGATAGACCAATGAGAGGTAAGGGGAATGCGTGACGTCATTAACAAAAATACAATTTAAATTCGAATTCCACTAACGGCCTTTATATGGCTGAAATAATCATGCAGGCTGTTACTTAAGGGATGAAGGGATTGTCATTAAAATCGAGTTGCTGCCAGAATATTAAGTCAAGTTGGGTAGGAACTATGACCATCAGATAAATCAAATAAATTTTCCATTCCATTCCAATTTTCAACCAAATTTCTTGTTGGACATCTAGGATATAATACGTTGCAAACTAGAAGAGCCTATGACCAGCTGAGCATCATGCTTAAAATATGTAAAGGGATAACAGATGCCCCTGATCTACACAATGAGCTGAGTCGTCTTTACGTCCCTAATAATTACCTCCGAGACCGAAAACACCGTTTACTAGCCGCTAGCTTTTAGTAAACCATTTTAACATAAAAAATAAATAAATAAAACAGAAATCGATAGCTACATACTCGTAAATATACTGTACGATGTCGTTTATTCAACAGGCTAGGTCGTTAATTAAATGCATTATTAAGCTAGTTGGCCTTCAAACGACAGCACTAAGATATGTGCTACAAGATCTTTCTTTCAGGGTGGAAAACCATCAATTCTCTCTCGCCCTGTGTGAGGCGAGAAGGAGTGTCAGATTCTTACATGAATCTATCTGCAGCCATATATTATTGCGCTGGACCTACAACCCTGGCAGATGTTTTAGAGAGTATTATTATGGTCACCTATAAAAATACTCTCTAAAAATAGGTCAACAGATTAATTTGTTGAATGATTTCTTCGATCCTTAAAATATCTACTTACTTAAATATAAACCCTAGACTGAGCACTTAGATTGAGTCGTTAGTCGAATTAATATTGTACACAATAACCCGATTACGCAAACTAAACTTGATCAAAATGTTACTTTAATGTGTTCTTTTGATTATAATTATATTATTGAATGCAAAATCAACATCAACCCAGCGACCAATTGTTTCTGCCGATCTGAGTGAGGCGAGCGGGAATAGACAGATTAGTGACTAAAACCACTCTGTTTTCCTTCTAAACATATATTATGCCGTCTCCATTGGGCTTGGAGAAAGTGTAAAAACTTAGTTAAAAATAAGATTCAATTCACTTAATTCAACTATTTCACTATCAAAAGTTACTGAGTACCTTAACATAGAAGAATGGGAAATTAGGTAGGAACGTTATGATTTTTGAATTTAAATCATTCTTCTGGAAGCTATAAAGAAACTAAATTAAGTATCATTGACTTCAAGCAGTTGACCTACAATCTTAGTACATACAGTAATTTATCCATTGTGATCTCTTAAATTTTTTCATTCATTCTTTAATATCGTACCAAAATATACATATTATTGTATGCATGTTATACTAACAGAAAAATACTGCTTATAAACGATAACAATGGTTTTAGTTCTAAACGTTTGATAGAAAAGAGATACCAATTATAAAAAGAGCACTGTCTACTATAATTTTGTTATGCAAAATTCCATCTTATTCAACATCACCATAGAGTTTAAAAATGAAAATAGTGTACTCACCGCCTGATCTCACCCGCTATCGAAATGACACTAACACTTGAGACGGGATGCGATACGTATTTATCTAAAGCAGTCCACGTACGATAATCTGTCTCACATCGAATTTGTCTTACTAATATATATTATGTCCTGTTTGTTCATATTCTTATTATATTACTAAAAGGGACGAAACAAGTTTCCCATTGATTAATTGCAAACTTGTTACATCTACATAAATAATTTATTCCTGTAAAATGTATTTCGCATTTATATTTTGGAATGCTAAGGAAACCGGGTCTATCTGTCACGCTTATATCTTTAAAGTACTAAGCACATTTTGATGCGGTCAGAAAAAATTGAATAGATTTTGGTATATGTTAGAAAAACATATTTTTTGCCATTATTTTATCCCCATTTGTGTGATGCAAGTTTCTTGCCTGCTGCATAAGTGACTTCAACTTCAATAAGTGACTTGCATGGTATGAATAATACGTTATCATGTATTGTTAATTAGGCCTTAAGGCAGATTTACATAATACCATTTTCTTGAATTAACAGGAGCCATAATTGTATTTGGCTCGTAATCTCGCTCGGATCGTTGCTGGCACTCTCAACAGTAAAGAGTTAACAAAGGTTACCTGAAGAAGAGAAAAAGGTCATGCCTTTCGTCACTTGTAGAGTTATTTCCAATTCTACTAATGTCATAAAATGTAAAAGTTTATGAGAATGTATGGATGTATGTTTGTTATTCTTTCACGTAAAACGGCTGGACCGAATAGATGATATCCTTAATTACATATACTTACAGGCTATTGTATAACAGGCTGTTTTTCAATACATCACGCGGGCAAAAATTGGCATAACTATGAGAACAGAAACAACGATAATTTGATATATTTCATGCACGTGCCAAGTCATTGACAGAAGCTGGTATTAGTTTAAACCTTTTTTAATAAAATTCTGGTTCCTTAGTCGTGGGTCCTAAAATATTGCTTAAATCGTTTATTCCTTCCACATATTTTCTTTAACAAATGTTTTGGGATCCTGTGTGTTGCGAATTCTTTATTGGTCAAAACCTTTGTAATTTAATATTATCCAAAACTAATGTCAACTTTTTTGCGTCATTGAGGTTTGAGGTCATTGGATTACGAGATACAAGATGAAATATTTTATAATTGTATTTTTTTTTTGTTGATTGTAAACGCTGATTTACTATATCCAAGTAGAATAACAAAATTATAGGTTGAATTTAGTACACTAGTGTGGGCTCGACTGAAGTCGACGTCGTCGTAGAAAACAGGCGTGAACCAACTACAGCGTTGTGTTTCGCCGTGTAAGGTTACCAGAGGACTATCCATGGGTGACGTCAATTGCTTACCATCAGGTGATCCTTCCTTTGCCAATGACATCTGATAAAAAAACATTTGGTGATAGATTTATTTTTTCATTGATTAGGCTTTGAAACTACGAAATAAAGGTCCAGGTTATAAAAGGACGTTTAAAAGTGGATGAAACCGTAGACAGAAAACCAGCATAGTATAAGTAAATACATGCTATTGTCTGTATTTTAAATGTGTTCTAAATGAGTATATTTCCTAGGATTTTTCCTCAAAGGTGTATGTACGCGTATAGAAATCAAATAATGTCCGGTGTTTATTCATTTCCATTGCCATTGCCTTGTACTTGACAACGAATGACCTGACATGATAAAAATATATTTTTTTTTTCTTTAACATCATTTTGTCTTTGTTTACTCAATTATAATCAGCCTTACATGCAACAACTAAGCTAATACCGCATCATTGATAGCTTGGAGGATAAGGCTTCTCATACTATGAGTGCTGGTAGGAACTGTCAAATAAGAATGAAAGTTTTTCCGAGTTTGTCTACTTTCTAAATTGATTTATATACCTCTGATAAATATTGAAAGAAAACATATCAAGCAAACCTAGAGTACAACTTCTGAAGTTTATATTGTAAATCCGCTTTAAGTAAACGTGGTGATTGATACGCTTTTTTGTTTATAGAATAGGTCGGCTAACGAACAGACGAATTACCTGATGATAGGTAATCAGCGCCACCCGTGGTCACCCGCGACGGAGGAGTTATGAGTGCGTTGCCGACCTTTTAGGGGTTAGGGTTTTGGTGATTTAGGGATTGGGAGGGATCGGGGAAGGGGAAGGATTGGGCCTCCGGTAACCTTACTCACACGGCGAAACACAACGCTGTGGTTGTTTCATGTCAGTTGTGAGAAAAGTCTTTTGATGACATGGAAATTGCAAGTCGTATGCAAAATTGGGTTGTATATACCTATTTTGTTTTGATAATTTCAGTAATCGATTGATGAGATTGGTATGCAATCGTATTAAGAACGAGAAAACAGATTGTTACTGATTGGGGATACGGCCCGCATCGTTTTCCTTTCCTAGATAAGCAACCTATTTATTCAGGCCATCATGAATGCAATCTTCGCGACAAATAATACCACTGCTTACCGCAAACGCTTCGTACGTGTATGGTGGTATGGGTGGGGTATATTTATACAACACTAGTTACTCTCGCGTGGTTTCACCCGCTGTTCAGCTCCATTTTTTTATATAAAAACGTTGCCCCACTTTAGGATTTTCTCCTGTGTTGTGGGTGCGTTTACAAACAAACAATGTCACATGCACATGACACCCAGACCCGAAACAACAATTGGTGGACCACACAACGTATAACTCCGTGCAGGAATCGAACCCGCAACACGTTGCACGGCAGCCAGTTGCCCAGCCACCGCACCAACCGTGCAGTCAGTGCATTTGATCGTAGCGTGATGTTTTATAGCCTATACTCAGGAACATTGTAGCTATCATTGAAAGAATTTTGACAATCCGACCAGCGATTCCAAAGATTACCCCCTACTTACAAACTTACAAATTTTACCTCTTTATCTTTATAAGTATAGATTAACGGAAAAACAAAGTAACCATTAGAGTAGCTAATGCTGCGTGTGCAATGTCTATATTTTTGTTTGTAATATTCGTAACTGTACTTTCTAGACAGAATCAGATAACAATATCATCTCAATAATCTAATACCTAGATAAAGAAACCTCCAGTCATCTTTATTATTATCAAATGGCTCTCTATCAAATCTCTATATAACTTTTGTAAGAGGCACGTACCACACGTTTATCTAAGAAGGCATTTACATTTTGTAGATACTTGCATTCCAATCCAAAGAATTGTAAATAATGATTCTTGAACTTAAAATTCCGGTTTAATCATGTAAATGGGGAGGAGCATGCATGAATGGGGTCGGCTTGACCGGAGTGATAAAAACGCCTCATAGTATAGTATACTGGCGTAAAACAGCTCTTGCTTCATTTTCACCTTTTGATTGAGGTTATTGAGGGACCCAATCCTTCTCTGCACTCCTCTTAAAGCGTCTTTGTGAATTGTGAGCAGTATCGAGTACTTACAACTATAGATAATCAGATTCTAACTAAAATTAGCATGTTCCATCTCCTACTCTATCAGTAATACCGCAAAAGAAGAGAGAGATTTATGAAACTATGAACGTCTATCGGTCTACGCAGCAGTTAGGTACTGTGCTAACCAAAACTAGGGTCACTATCCTATTACATCCACAAAGGCTGTTAGAAAACCTAAAAAGTTTGAGTCTTGCTGCTGATTATCAGTTCACCGTTGTACCATGTCCATGGACTTTAGTAATAGGTTTCCTTTGCAACTGGTGGTGTTGTTTACATTCTTTTAGGAGTAACCTACAATGCCAAGTAGAATGAAAACAAGCGCGGGTCCACTTAATCCATTCAAGAGCAATAATGCACCGCGGCCCTCGTCGGGAGCAGAAGATAGAACAGGGTGGTCTTTTATCTGCAGGATTCTGACACTTCCAATTGTCAAAAGTAATACGGGAGAAAACATTTGATGATTCCTCAAGAATTTGACTCTTCCACTGGCCCAAAAAAAGGTGATTTTGGCTCAAAAAAAGACTTGTTACTAGGGAGTGCGCATTAAGGGTGAAAATAAAAGATAAAATGTTCCTTATAAAAACGTTTATTATGAATACTGTGTTGCTTGTCTGCTATAAATTAGACTAAGTGTAGTAAGTACTCAACGCGTCACGACTCCGCGGGCTGTTGTGTCTCTGGCTTCGATGTTTCCTTCGCACTTAACGCGGCTCGCTGCTCAGCTGTGCAATATTCTGCAAGAAAATGTATTTGCAAATGTCAGTCATAACTTATTTTATAAATAAATATTAAGATTACAAGACAAATTTTACTGGACTATCCTCCTGATCATATGTACAGCAAAACTAACCGTGAAAATGTTGTAGCCCTTCTATCAAAATACTTACAAGTTAATCTTTACAAACCATTTTGTTTAATATTTATATTGTAGACAGACCAGTTAGCTTGAATATTATTTTTCGTTGTATTTACCGAATATCTTTCATAACGAACACGATAAAATAAGGTCATTCTATGACTATCGAAGACATTTAAATGTCGTTTGCGACCATACCCCAAGTTAGGTAATAAATTTATATCATAAAGCTGAAGAGTTTGTTTGTTTGAATATACATCTGGAACTACTGGTTCGAATTAAATAAATATTTTTGTGTTGGATACTCAATTTATCGAGAAAGAATTAAAATGACCAATAAGAGCCGATCACCGGCTGAAGTCACGCAAATGATAGAAATAAATGTCGGTATTCAAAAAAAAATTATATTCCAACCCTGTTTTTGGCGGAGACTCCATACAGTTAATGACAATCTTAGTCAACTGATTTTGTTTTAGGACCGATTACGGCCTTACATAAACTTAATATAGTTTTGTAAACTAAACAATACTTACGCGTTTTACTAGGTTCCCATCCGATATATTCGCCAGTCCGTTGGTTCTCAGCTTGTAGCCACTCGTGTAAAGGTCTGAAGTACTCCAGGAGTCCATCGGCCTTCATACTTCTTTGACCAGTAAGGACCTCCATCGCATCAGGCCAAGGTTTCGATGAACCCATCTTGAGCATGTTACTGTAAAAAACATTAAAATGAATATTATTTTTAAAGTAAAGCAAGCATCGCTACTTCATTATACGCCTTATGCAGAAGATTTGAGCATTAATCATCATGCTTGTTCAAGGCGATATCAAACTTATAATTAGAAATTATAAGCCTGGTCTTCTCAAGGTGTCTTCCTTTATCATCTCAATAGAGTCAAAATTACTTAGTACAAAACATAACTCGCGAAAAATGACATTGGTACTTGTCAGGCTTAGAATCTTAAACCTCAAGTAAGTAAGTAGAGTGTGCTCAGGAATTACACGATTTGATTCCGCCATCCCAATTTCACCTTCGGGCATCTCGGCGTACGGCGAATATCCACCCCTACGTTGTTGAGACTCCTGCGGCCTGGACTAAGCGTTTTGCCTCGTCATTTATACCGCGTACATCGAAGGATTGGAACAGTTTGCCGGCTGCAGTCTTTCCGGCCGAATACAATTTAGGTGTCTTCAAGGCTAGAGTGAATAGGCTCTTAATAAACTAGTGCGCCTTACCATCAACGATTGCATCACTGCTTACCATCAGGTGGGATCGCAGTCAAGCACTAGTTTATTGCAAGTAAAAAAACTGACACGTTCAGTAAAGCATAAGTAACATAAAAAATTAAAAAGCAAATCCTAAAATATTAATTAATAACTGCTTTTTTCAGCATCAAAGTCTCTATAAACTTACGCGAAAGCATTTCCAGCAGCTACGCTCTGGTAGATATCGCAGTCTACGAGCTTCTTGTTGAGATCCTCAGGAACATACTCTCCAGCCAGCTGGCAGAGGGCGCGGTGGAACTGGAACTGGATTATGAAGGACACGTAGTATCTGAAAAGAAAAAAAGACATGTTAGAAGATTGTTCTTTTGAAGAATCATAAATTGTCTATTATAAGATAAAAAAATAAGTAGAATGTCACACATGAGCACGTCGGGGAGAGAATTCATTAAAATATATGAGGAGGTATAAATTACTTTCTAATAATTAAATTCAGGATATGCTACCGACATTTCTTATTTGTAATCTTAAAAACCAAATGGTAGCCTATATCCCAAGTTTTTATTGTTAGGATCAATTCAAACTCAATTTATCGCGCGATCTTTAAGAAGGCCACATGCTTATGGAAACAAGCTATAAATGACGATAATGATGATGAAAAATAAATCACGCGCATCGTCCTCACCTTGCATATTCCACATTGGCTGACACATGGTATTTAGCAGCCGCATCAAAATCTTCTTCAGTCCTATTGACCGGTGGTTCCACACCCTGCAGGGATTCCCTTAGCTTCCAGAAGTGACAGTTGTAATCTTCAGGAGTGGTAGAGCCACGGAATACTCCGTAACGGAATAAGTCGAGCGTGTACGCAAATGGCAGGAACACAATCTTATCTAAGCCCTGGAAATAAAAAAAAGCTTGTTTAACATTTTGTCGGTTATAAATATAATTACTTCATGGTCGGTAGAAAAAGTTGTAGATATCTACACTAATAACACTCCTTTTTTTGGGCAGTCGTGTAATTATAAAATGTAAGGTAAAATTTGTAAGTTTGTATGTAGTGAGTAATCTTTGGAACCGCTGGTCGGATTACCAAAATTCTTTCACTGATAGATATGTATAATACAGTACGCTACTATCAAAGGAAGCCGATTAACTGGTAAAACCGTGAGAGAGTGGCTAGTTGGAAATATTTTTAACGAGGGAGTTACAAAGAACCTAAACATAATGCTAAATGATTCCAGTCTCTTGGTAAATGGAACTCATAAAATAGTGACTGATAAAAATCGGCATTAGTTTAACTAGTAATTGATTAAGAACAAACCATTTTGTAAAGCTGATTTATTTCAGTCTGTTCATCTTCAGCGTCACCGGTGCTTAATCCAACTCGCCTAAGATGTTTAGGAGATGATACTGACAGGGCAATCGTATCTCCTACAGCCTCATGGAAACCTAAAACATTTACAAATGCAATTAAAATAAAATAAGACAAACAACCTATGCCTGTTTAAACTATTTATGTTATAAGAACTCAGTCGTTATCATGTTATGTCCATTCATCGAATGAAAATTCATCCTTTTTTTGTACACAAAGTGTAGGAGAGCTATGCTTCGGGGAATGGGTCGGCTCGACCGGAGCGATACCGGCGGCGACGGCGACGGCCTCACAGAAAAGCAGCGTGTAACAACCACAGCGTTGTGTTTCGCCGTGTGAGTAAAATATGTATACTGGCTGGTTTTCTTATGCAATGTAAAGCAATTAACCTCTTTGTTAAACTGTAAATGTATTTCACAGACGAATTACAAAAACATGACTAAAAAAGATTAGTAGATCCAAAATCGAAAAGTTAAAAAGATGGAATACTATAAAGCCTCATTTTTTAATTGTCAAGTCAAAAGTCATAATCATTTATTTCAGCAAAACTATTAATAGGTGCTTTTGAAAAGTCAAAATAGACTAATAGCCTAGCATTCTGTTCATCGGTGAATCTCGGCGCTCGTTCCAATTGTAGATTTGAAAGAAGAAGCACGAGAAAGAAACCCCAAACTAATAGGGAAGTAAGATGTCCAGATGTAGAATGTAAGAGAATATTTCCCATATTGTAAATCGGTACCTGGATTGGCCCCCTCTCGGAACACGACGGGGAGGTGGCTATACAGCAAGTAATATTGTACATGACCCATTTCGTGGTGGACTGTTCTAAAATGTTCTCTGTTGATTGATGTACACATTTTGATCCTGGTATAACAGATAAGAATTAATTACCTGGGTTAGCTCCATCCCGGAAAACGAACGGTTGATTTCTATACTGAAGATAATACTGAATATGTCCCATTTCATGATGTGTGGTTTGAAAGTACTCGTAATCGATTGTTGTGCACTGTTTGATCCTTCAAAATCAAGCCAAATAATAATGTTAGTAGAAATTTTGAATTTTAGCACATTTTGGATGCGATGCCACCAAAAATGTATCGTCGATGTAGTTGATAAAAGTAGATGATTGATAATAAGTACAGAAATGAATATTTATCTAGATTAAGATTTCTACATTACAATACTACAATGCAATAGAAAATGGAAATTATGGAAGCTTTTGCGTATTTGCAAGAATATCCAGCATTTAAAAAAGCGATATTATTCAATAAAATATAATGAATATTTATGGGAAGACCTTAATGGTGAACGATTTTAAATTTTTCTATAGCTTTAGTTTCAAAGTAGTAAGGAGTACTCTTCGTGTTCGTATGTTACCTGAAGTCTTCACCATCATAGAAGTCCCAAGCCGAAGCATGGCAAACAATTTCCCTATCAGTAGGTTTCTCAATGATGGAGTTCTTCCAGAACTTCTCGGGCATGGCAGTCAGGTTCAAAGACCTGAAGAATTCATCAGACATTTGGAACATTTTCAATGCTGTGTAGTTCTGATCTTTCATTGCCTGTGTGATGTCGATTTCCTTCTTGTCTGGGTAAGGACGGGTGAATGATTCAACGTTGCTCCATGTTTGAGCCCACATGTTGCCTGGAATTGAAAATGAAAAGTGTGATTTGTGAATGTAATCCATATTTAAAAACTGGTTGAAGAAAAGTGACCATGGAAATTATTCATCTTAACTGCATGTCACGAGCAGGATAGAGTAACTAAAGGGCGAAGATAGTGAACCTAAAAAATGGCGTAACATTCTGCCATCAAATTCATTCATTTTAAGAATTTTTAATACCACATTCCACGTAAAATTTTGAGTCTAACAGTCGAACTGCCAAGTAATTTTTGTTTAAGGAGTGAGACCCACTTTTTGGAGAGGCCTACGTCCAGCTGTATAAGGAAAAAGGTAAATTATGATAGTGGTGTTGGTCAAGAACAAGCATAATTTTTAACTCACTACATCTTCTTAAAGTTATTTTGAGTTTGAATACTCACCTAACAAATGTGCAGGAATGGGTCCTCGAGCAGACACGACGTGGTCTCCATACTTGTCTCGCAGCCTCTTCCTCACGTACGCATGCAACTGCTGATACAGGGGCTTCACGTCCTCCCAGATCTTGGCCAGCTGTTGTTCAAAGTTGTCCACTTCATACTCTGACTGCCACCAATCAGCTACATCTTTGTAATCTGGAATTTCGAAATTGTATGTGTATATAAGATAAAGTAGTATATCGTCTATAAGTTGCAACAAAAGTACTGTCAAAACAGAATAATTATCGTAAAGCCGTTAATTTTTAAAAACAGACACCGGTGGCCGATTATGTAAAAAAATTTACAAAAAAAAAACAGCTTTGGAAAACAACTGATAGGTACTTCCACGTTGTAGAAAGAAAACATAATTATATAAATAACCAAGTCTGACTAGATGATGGCTAATTCTTGTGTCATATGTGGATAGGAACACAGTCGTAATAGTCCTCAAAAGTCTAGCACAAAAAGGTACCACGGGCTCGACCTGGAGCAGGAGAAGGAACCAGGAAATTTTTTGTCGGTAAGAACCTGACACTCACTCTAGCCATACCCTGGGCTAGATAAGTGATGATAATTTTTCCTCCTTGAAGAAAACGTAAAAATCTTGGTGTTTGCTCAAAATATGCAAAGTAAATGTGCAAAACAAGAACATGACAACTACAACTACAAATTATCATTTAACATTTATTGAAACAATCATGACATGTGGCATTAATCTGCAATAATACATTTATAATTAATTATTCTTTGTATGGATTGTAAAATAATGATACCGTACATGAGTAAGAAAAAGAAGGAAATATACCTTTCTAGTTTCAAGCTATTATTATTTATACTTACCTCAATTAGCCGTCAAATCAAATCAACTAAATTATTGTTTCCTATCACTTGTAAATAACATTAATTTACCCTTTTGTGCAACACAAGAAAAATAAATCAAAATAAATAAAATTATAAGGACAAATAACTGAAATTATAAGGACCTTACATGAGTTTCATTATAGAAATTAATCTCTACTCTACTCTTTAAGTGTGGGAGAGCCATGCTTCGGCACGAATGGGTCGGCTCGACCGGAGTGATACCACGGCCTCACAGAAATCCGGCGTGAAATAACCACAGCGTTGTGGTTACTGGAGGCCCAATCCTTCCCCTCCCCTAATCCCTCCTCAATCCCTTAATCTCCATATCCCTAATCCCTAAAAGGTCGGCAATGCACTCGTAACTACTTCGTTGCGAGTGTCCATGGGCGGCGTTGATTGCTTACCATCAGGTAATCCGTCTGCTCGTTTGCCGATCGTTTACATAAAAAAAACCATTTTTTTTATACAAATACCAGCAAAGTAATTCTATTACATTGCCTTAACATTTCCTCTGCGAACCGAAATACTAAAGTTTAAAATGTGTTACTCAGGCTAGAATGAGATCTGCTACCATCACTAGTACCTATTTATTCTCCTTTTTACCCTTACCATTTAGTTTAGCAGCCTCATTGTACAAGCGAACATATTCAGTGAAGTTGTGCCGTGCCTTCGCCCCCGCCTCCTTATGCCATTCCACCCAAAGATGCTTCAACTCTTCAGGATCCTGGCTCTTCGCGAACATGTCAGTGATTTCTGTAACAGTTAATATTCAATTTTGAGGTTATTTTCATACATGTAGGTAAACCTTTACTACATCTCCAACATCACTTGTATGTAGAAATGAAAATGTGTCAAAGCGTACTCAGAGGCATTTAATGAGTACTTAAACTACACCTCAATGTGTATTTGCTCCGTAAACAATAGGTAACCAGGGTTCCATAAACAATTAAATGAGACAAGAAAGAGTACGGTCCCACTGATTTCGTTCGTTAAAGTAGATACTATTGACAAAGCTGTGGCTGAAGCTTTTGTGAGTTTGGAAGAGCTAAGCTTTGGCTCGAATGGGACGGCTTGCCAGAAGGAATAACACGACCTCACAGAAAACTGGCATGAAACAACGACAGCGTTGTGTTTCGCCATGTAAGTGAGGTTACCGGAGACACAATCCTTTCCCCTTCCGTCCCTGGTCCGTAAACCTCCAAAATTTTAATCTCCAAAATACCAGCAACGCACTCGTAACTTTTCTGGTGTTGCCATTGGCGCTGATTGCTTACCATCAGGTAATCCGTCTACTCATATATCACCATATCGTATAAAAAATATGCTAGGTGACAATTTTGACGACATTATAGGTATATAATAATATAACAAACGTTCGTTTAGCCTATTTACTTTTAGGACCATCCCAAATAACAAATAAATTTAGACGTAAAATTACCTGGCTCCAAAGACAAATTACATTTGGAAGGATCTTTATATTGACAGATCTTGGCCGTTGCATAATTGGATTCCATTCCAGCAACCACCTTCATCAACTGTTTGTACTTCTCATCTGGTAGTGCTGACACTCCCAACTGGCTGTACTTCTTGAACATCCTTCGAAGAGTGAAGTCCTGGAAGTCCTGCCACCTGTACATCTTCGTTTCCTCCCAAGCTCGCTTCTCTTGTTGGGACTGTTCGAGGCGGACTTGGATCTGGAATTTTTAAATGTTTAATTAATTTATATTTCAACTTTTTGAAACACAGCGAGAGATTCTAAACAGAAGATTTTTTCTAACTGTATGGAGCAAGTGGCGAATTGTTGTTTGATGTGAAAGACTAAGGGGAAGGTCGAGCAGTGGGCCTCTTCCGGCTGCTGATGATGATGATGTGCTGAGTGCATCTTACAAATATTATAAACGTGAAATTTTGCAATAGTGGATGATTTGTTACACTATTACGTTAAAACTACCGAATGAATTTTGATGAAAATTGGCGAAAAGATGTGTTTGATAATATCCTAGGTATTTAGATTTCCTTATGACCTTATTCTTTTACAAATAGATTAAAGCACCAGTCTGGTTTGAAGTATGCACGATCCATATATGAAATTCGTACTCCATACAAAACTTAATAAAAATCTTAATAAAAATAATCACGTCATGGAAAAAATATGTATCATGACCACATTTTAAAAGATAATGAAGGACACAGAATTTTTTATTTTTGTGCCTAAAATCTACAAATTTTTATTTGCCTTTTTAATATCGGCTACCGAGCGTTGGAACAGAAGTGGGTCATTCACTTTCTCTTATTGTTTATATTACTGGAAATACCGGTTACCTGATTATCAACTGGTGGATGCTAGCGGTGTTTTGATGCGATGGATTCCTTTTTATATACGGCATAGCTAAATTTGGACCTAATGTTAAGCAAAGACGCAGATACCGGCTGATTCATTTCTTTATTTTTTTATTTTATCAAGGAATAAGCGTACTGTAAATGACATGAAAGTATGGGATAGCCATGCTTCGACTCAACCGTGTGACACCACGGCCTCACAGAAAACCACCGTTAAACCGCTCTTGCGTTGTGTTTTGACGCATGATGAATTTAATAGACCCAATCCTTTCTCTTTGCTAAGCCAAATTCCCAAACTCTCAATTTCTCTCAAAAAAAAGCTTTATTGCTGGCAACCCAATTATAACTCCTCTGATGTTCTGTGTGTTCATGGGTGACACTGATTGCCTATTATCGGGTGATCCGTTTGCTCATTTGCGTATAGTTATCTATTTTTCGCCAAATATAATAAAGTATCATGAAGCAAACGGTCTTTTACCATATATTGGTCTTAATTCAAGCTTCAGCCGACAGGAAAATTACACTTCGGCCAACGAAAATTAGATAAGGTCAAGAAAAACGAAACTGACCATTACGCCAAGGATCAACGTACCCATTTCTCTTCATTTTCCTTAGTGATATTGGAGTAGTAGTCCCACTCGTAGATCCCGACTTTGTTCTTCCTCAGGCCCGTGGCCTTGTCGAGTTGGAAGATGTACTCCCGACCCTCAAGCTCCAAGGCCTCGAGGTCTGGGTCGCGGCCTTGAGTGGCGACCACGAAGACCGCCACTATGGCTGCCACCAGCAAGGCTCCGCCCCCAATTTTCAGCATCGTCTGTGAAGGAGAAAATGGTAAAATTAAATGCTTTCCTTTCTTCAAACATGGCTTGTTACGCGTATGTTGGCTTGAAAGTGTGTGTGTGGTGTGTTTGTATAAGCATTAATGTTTTTTCAGATAGTAACAGTTGTTATAGATTATTATTTTTTATTTTTTGTTATTTAACCAGCACAATAATTTAATAACATTGTAGTCGTTAAGTTTGTCGGTATTAAGAAAGGTTTTGCTGCGCCCTAACAGGGTTGTGTACTTACATTAATTTGAATATACCTATTTCTTATACATCCATCGTGGAAGAAATTAAAAAAGATATAATTAGTGTTTTGATAATGCACTAATAAGGCTTGTAGATCCCTAACTTTTCCATAGTTTTAGTTTATCCATTTCATCTCCAAAATAAACAAAATATTTTTTTGTCAGAATCAATTTATTGATCAAAATTATAATTTCGAAAGAAAGTTTTTTTCTACCACGTATGAAATGAATTCTAATCTCATAAAATTGATCATGGAACAGGACGTAAGGAAAATCCTCCTTTTCATGGAAAATCCTTTAGAAAACACTCGAGAAAATTCTCATTTTCAAACTAGTGTGGCAAAAATGTTACCATAAAATACATGAGAAACACGTGGAGTGGATGTATTGTAAGATATGTGAGATACGATCTCACGATGTCGTCATTATGAGTATTTACAAGATAATACAGTATTGACTCGTATCCTGCCTTTCAGCAGATACAAAACTCAGCTCAGTTTGCATGTAAAAGATCATATTCTTCAAACAACTTCAATTAAGTAGGCACTTTTGAGTATCTATGAATTTTCACAAACACTGAGGATAAAAGTTAAGTGTTGGAGAGCCAAGCTTCGGCACGAATGGATCGGTTCGACTGGAGTGATACCACGAACTCACAGAAAACCAGAGAGAAACAACCACAGCGTTGTATTACACCGTAGGAGTGAGCTTACCGAAAATCCAATCCCTCCCCCTTCCCCATCCCCTTCCACCCCTTAGATATCCGAAACCATTATCCCCAAAATCCTGGCAGCACATTCGTTAATTCCTTTGGTGTGTCCATGGGCGGCGCCATTTGCTTACCATTAGATAATCCGTCTGCTCGTTTGCAAACCTATTCCATAACAAAACAGGCTTTTATATTATTACTTTTTCTCATAGAATCCTTAAACATACATACATGTAAAAGTACGCTCGTTTTTCTTTCATTCAATGCATATATAGACATAATTATTTGTACCTATCTGAAGGTAGTAACGAGAGAGAGTAACAATACGTCCAAACTATTTTAACTGTTCAAGTTGTTGTTTGGATGCTGGGAAACTAGTGATAAAAGAATCAAATCAACGCCTCGGCTCAGAGTAGAAGTTAGATCGAGGTGGTTTTTAGCTTTCCTCTTTTTTCTATACTAATATTATAAAGAGGTAAAATTTGTAAGTTTGTATGTAGAGGGTAATCTTTGGAACAGCTGCTCTGGTTTCCAGAATTCTTTCACTGTTAGATAGCTACAATATTCCTGAGTGCTACAAAACATCACGCTACGATTAAATGGAGCTGAGCAGCGGGTGAAACCGCGCGAGAGTAGCTAGTATATGATAAGTCGGCAAACGGATAAGCTTACCACTATAAGCATTCGTTGCCGTCCATGTACAAAAAAAAGGATTTGAGAATTAGGGATCGGTGAAGGGCCAAGCGTTATGCTTCTGATAGTCTCACACGGCGATTTTAATACACACAGTTTTACTGCTAATATAAATATGAAAAAGTTTTTACAGAGCATATAAATCGATTGTTATTTTAAATTATTATTAGTCCTACTTTCTCTTTTCAATACTTGTTCATTTTTTTTAAGACCATCTTAAATTAAATCGATACAGGTGATCTTGTGACCGAAACAAAGTTAATCTACAGCATTCAGTTATATCCTTGTGAAAGCATCTGGTTATGATCTTGTTTTTATATTATCTATAGTATCTATATTATCTATAGTATCTATATTATCTATAGTATCTATAGTGTAGCTGTTACTGATTGGAAGTGACATGCATTTACCAGCTCCTCACAAAGTTTATTAGTTTGTCTGTCCAACTTCTGGGTGAAAATGAAATATCTATACATAATCTTATAGCAAATTGTCTTAAAATCAAATAAATTACGCTTTGAATTACCTTTCGGACTTAGCAAAGATGTTCGGTACACACACGCAAATAAAATATATTTTCTAAAGTCAGTTGTTAAAAACTTATCAGAAATTGATTTCACAACTACTACAAACCACTATAAAATTGCTAATTGTAAACAATCAACAAAACTTTCGCAAAATTCTTTTGAAGTATGGCAATTGTCAAATATTATTTTGATGCCTATGGTTATTTTTTCTAGACTTGATTGATAGTTAAAAGCTAGGAGGTCTTAGTCAAAAGTATGGTTATACAAATAATTATGTTTTTTAAAAATAGTAATCTAAAATTATCGTGAACAATTTTCAAATTAGAAGGGCTTGGTATTAACTAAATAGTTAAGCCCAAAATTGTCTGGTATCTTTCAAACAGCGATTCCTGAAAACCTTCTGATGTTGATTGTTGAGGAGAGTATATCCAAAGAATTTTACAGGCGACTGAACGATTTTTCAAACTTAGCTTTCATATTCAAGGCATCGTTTACTTATCACCATTCTTTTAGGCAAAACTATAGCCTTGATTGCATGCATTGCATTGCTACATGCATCGAAGGACTAAAGGACCATCTTCTATAGAAGTTCATTTTCAGCTGTCCTTAATTTCCAGATTTCTATTAGTTTTCATTTCGCCATCATTAAGCTAGCCATCTATTTCTCTTCTTTAAACTAAGACGAATTAATTGGACACAAACATATTTCAGCTTCACCAGACATCCGTTTAGCACACAATATCTTTTAGTTCAGCTAATTTTGCCACAAAAGACCACTTTGGCCATAAAAACTGCAGGAAATTCCCATATATAGCTATGTAATGTACATATAATGTTCATACAATCTATCTATGGTTCCACCATAAAGCCGGTGCGCGACGGACCGAGACCGTCCTTGACTCATCCATCTTGACATAGCATCATTGTCTTTTGCCCAACCGCAGATAATTCTTCTGCGTCGTATGAATTGTCGTACTTAGGAAATTTACGCTTCTCTTCTTACAAAATTAGCTTGTGTGTAGTGACTAGTCTGACGTATGTGTTGGAAAAGTTATAGCTGTTAAGTTTTTCAATGTTTTGTTAATATATCACAGCTTGTAATATTGGCATATTATATATACAGTATTTCGGTTAGGTCACCTCAAAAGTTTGGGAACAAGAATTACGCAGTAAAGTAAATAAAATAAAATAAACAATGTTTAAGTATTAATATATCGGTTTTACTTTATGCATAATCTTTGAGTAATAACTGTTACTGGATACAGAGACGATACTGGACCATAGCGAATGCTAGTGTTAAAAAGTCTGCTACTTAATTATGTCATGAGTCCCATATACATAAGGTATTATTACTATGGTGTGCATTCCAGAATCTATTTTATAATAAAATTTTCTATTAAGCGATAGACGAGCGATGCGATCTTGTTCCCAAACCCACGTCTTTTTTTAATGAGAGAATGTCATCAAATAGCTTCTGTAGGCCTGGGCGGGAAAGGAAGTCTACACTCCTTCTCACCCTGGTACACATAGTACCTGGTTATCAGCATCAATCATCCAATGATTTCTCCTGCCCAGGGTAAGGCGAGAGAGAGTGTCAGATTCTTACTGACTAAAAACCTCCCCCGTTCCTTCTCCTGCTCTGGGCCGAGGTCGCGGTGCCTCATTGCGCTTACCTCGCAGCCCCGGGTAAATACCCTATATAACCATGTTTTAAGAAGGTACTTATAAAATCACGCCTCAATGTCTTTAAATTCATGACTCAACTCAATAATTTGTGCTTCTAAATACTCAACAATTATACAACAAATATATTTTTATTGAACTCAGCATTATCGAAGGCATTTAACATGGCAGATTAACGCAAGGTCATCAATCTACACTACAAGTTTAAGATGTAAAAGAATTTAACACGATCTCACTTTAAACAACAAAAAAGATGCAACCGACCAAGGTAAAGCTGAATATTTTAATGTCTAGTATTCGAATTATCTTAGTACCCATTTTCTGCTTCAAACAATAACTACCCATAACGAGATGAAAATAAGGTGCCAATTCATGTGTAGGCCCTTCTACAGATAGGACCCTTTGCAATGAGGTTTCAAAACTGGTACCATCTACCTTCGAACCATCGGGCAGGGTCGGTGACACGCTATATCTTGCATAATTTCTAAATAAAATAAAAATAACGGAATGCGATCAGAACAGGGACGGATTTGTGAATATACTTTTATAAGGCCCTTCAAAGAAGAAAATGAATTATTAATTCGCAACACAAATCAGGCACGTGACACATTGGAATACGGTAGTTTCCAAATAGTCAAATTCAATACTTTTATCCAAATGTCAAAAACGTTACTTTTTAAAACTGAGTTGTGACGTCATAGTTTTTTGCGTCAAATATAGTTTACTTATTTCTTAAAAATTTGCTGAATTTGCAAAAATTCAGTGTATCGGTTTATTAAAGTATTTTTTCAATATTTTATTGTATTGAAACGTCGAATTAATTTATTTTTGACCTAGGAAACCACCCAATTGTTTGTGTTTGTTTCTTTATCCTGGCATATATTAAGGTAGAAAAATAGAATAAAAATATTGATTAAAAATTACAGTTTCATCGGTTGCTGTACGTGTTCCTTAAGATTATGTGAATTGGGTGTAGCTTGAAACTTATTGAGTAACCTAATCGAACAATACTAAACAAAGCAAACATAATTAACTTTAGAATGTCTCACTTCAATTAAAATACAAATTAGAGAACAGACATATAAAATGAAGAAAAGTACTTAAGATTTTGTTATAACAATTTGGTTTTGGAGGTATTGAGGCCCAGTCTTTTTTCTTCTTCCCAACTCAAGAACACCCAATCCTCAAACCTCTCAAAAGGCCGGCAACGCAGGCGCTCAATGTTTATCGTAAGGTAATAATCCATCTGCTCGTGTGCCGACCTATCAATATTTTATTTCATCATCATCATCATCAGCCTATAATTACCCACTACTGAGCAGAAGAGCATTAATGAAGACGCTTACTCAAGGAAGATTGACGATTTCAAACTTACGTTTAGAAATGATAAGTCCAGAATGTTTTCCTTCACCGTATGTCAGTGACATTTAAATAATCATAGAAAGTACATATAACTCGGTAAATGTCTCATTGCTCTCTTGCACGAGAAGCGGCCGTTCCAGGCCACCATGACAAGATAATATTTTATTTAAAATTATTGAAATAAATGAATGGGACTTGGGTATCTATGTTTAGTTTAGCTATCTCAGAGCCGCAGTCCGGCCCTGCACCAGTTCAAGGCAACGTCCTTACAATGCCACTGGATGGAACAGCTGCAGAGTTTTTGCAGTTGTAATCATAAGACGCTTGAAAGATTCATCGATCGATGTAAATCGATAAGGTTCGCAATCAAACGGAAAATTGAATTAATCGAAATTCGATTTCAATTTGTTAGGTCTATAATTAATACTGGTAAAAGTGAGTTTTAACGATGTCGACGAAAAAGTAATCCAAATAGTTAAAAGAGCAATTTCAATGGCTGACATTGTTAATTTAATTGTTATGTTTTCGGCTTACTCACGTAACGAGATACTCGACTAGTTTCGAGCCATGCTAGAAGCCCATATTCCTGAGCAGCATTCCGCGACGCGAGTTTCTTGAGTATCTCGTCAAACAATTACGTGAGTAAGTCGAAAACATAATTAATTAGTATAGTCTCACGAAACTTATAATAAAGACATTGTCAACGTCATCGTTTGACGTTGAGGATTTAGTGGGAGGCCTTAGTTCAGCACTGAATTTCTCCAGGCCGATGATGGTGATAATGATGATGAATATCAATAGACACAAATATCATGATATCTTGCTTTCCATAAAATTTATAATTATCTACTTGAATTGTTTAAGCTTACGAT